GTTTGTACATATTTTGTACATTCCTTTTTTCTTTTTGTTGTCCTCACAGTTCTACAGTTCCCTAGGGATCCGATATACCCCTAGACCCCATCCAAGCTGTTAACGCCTAATAAAAACAACAACAAGCTCAAGGGCTGTTTTACTGAATCTGGGAGAAAGTGTGGAAAATGTATGTTGTCTTGCTGTGCAGATCTTAGGGGGACCCAGCAAACTCCAGCGGTCCTCAAGGGGGTAGTGCTACATATATAACCTTCAATGTTAGGATTAAATTCCATTTTGCCCCCAAATTTGCATACCAAACTAACAGCTGCACCTGCCACTGTAACTATGTATATACTATACCTTTGGGATCCTTCTAGTAGCTACTCCAGTGATCTCCACTGGCCCCCCTGGGTCTATTGCCAAATGGCTGCCCTGCTGCATTCTGAGCACAGGAGCTTAGCTACTCAGCACAGGTGCCATTCATAAAATGCTTACATTTTATTAATGAATGCAAGACGTACTCTGATTGAACTAGGTAGAGATCGTGACATCACCGTCCCGCCTTATCACTTTGTCCAATCAGAGAACACTTTGCATTCATTGAGAAAAAGTAAAGCCTTCTCTGAATGGAACCTGTACCGAATGGCCAAATTCTTGTCTTCAGAATGCTGCAGGGCAACTGCTTGGCAGTAGTCCTGGGGGCTAGTGGAGATCACTGGAGTAGCCATGTCTACTACAGTGATTTCCAGCTACTGGAGGGATCCCACAAGTATGTACCGTGGTAAAAGCTGGACCAGTATGTACAAATACCCATTCCTGAACTCTTCTTTAATAGCAAAACCTCTCAATTACTTACTTTTCTCTTAACTACTACTATGCAAGCATCTGCATATGCAGGAGCTTGGAATATACACATCTATAGTGACTTACTCACCGGTCACTTTATTAGGTCCACCTTGCTGGTACTGGGTTGGACCTCCTTTTGCATTCAGAACTGCCTTCATTCTTTGTGGAATAGATCCAACAAGGTGTTGGAAACATTCCTCAGAGATTTTGGTCCATATTGACATGATGGCATCACGCAGTTGCTGCAGATTTGTCGGCTGCACATCCAAGATGCGATTCTTCTGTTCCTCCACATCACAAAGGTGCTCTATTGGATAGAGATCAGGGGACTGTGGAGGCCATTGGAGTACAGTGAACTCATTGTCATGTTCAAGAAACAAGTTTGAGATGGTTTGAGCTTTGTGACATGGTGCATTATCCTGCTGGAAGGAGCCATCAGAAGATGAGGACACTGGCACCCAATGTGGTCTTCTGCTGCAGTACCCATCTGCTTCAAGGTTCGATGTGTTGTGAGTTCGGAGTTGGTATTCTGCATTCCTTGGTTGTAACAAGTGGTTGCTTGAGTTACTGTTTCCTTTCTATCATCTTGAACCAGTCTGCCCATTCTCCTCTGACCTCTGACATCAGCAAGGCATTTTCCTCCAAACAACTGCCACTCACTGGATATTTTCTCTTTTTCAGACCATTCTCTGTACACCCTAGAGATGGTAGTGTGTGAAGATCCCAGTAGATCAACAGTTTTTTAAATACTCAGACCAGCCCGTCTGTCACCAACAACCATGTCACGTTCAAAGTCAATTAAATCCCCTTTCTTCCCCATTCTGATGCTCGGTTTGAACTCAGCAAGTCGTCTTCACCACGTCTAAATGTATTGAGTTGCTGCCTTGTGATTGGCTGATTAGCAATTTGTGTTGCCAAGCAATTTAACAGGTGTACCTCATAAAGAAGGTTGTGTGTAAAAATCCCAGTAGATCAGCAGTTTTTTAAATACTCAGACCATCCCATCTGGCACCACCATGCCACATTCAAAGTCCGTTAAACCCCTTTCTTCTCCATTCTGGTGCTTGGTTTGAACTTCAACAAGTCGTCTTCACCACGTCTAGATGCCTAAATGCATTGAGTTGCTGCCATGTGATTGGTTGATTAGCAATTTTTGTTACCAAGCAATTGAACAGGTGTGCCTAATAAAGTGGGCAGTGAGTGTATATTGACATTTATTTATTTTTTTTGTAATATACTCTCATAATATAGATACTCAGGATAATAAATTACCTTAAAATTAGCACGATGGGCTGTAGAATATCCCTCGGCTTTGTTCTGTGAGGTTTGTTCAGTGGGAAGTCTCCCCATGAGCAGCAAAGCATCATCTAGTCTGAGCGAACGGTAATGATCTTGGTGGGTGTTAGATGGGCTCTGCGTGCTCGAGTTTACAATCTTCAACAGAACGGCATGACAGATTGTCTGCTGATAAAGAACGGCTTTACATAGAAATCTAACGGCAGTTTATTTATCGTTGTGACTCATTTACAGTTTCTCCATGACATTCATGAATCCCAAGGTCATCCTGACACTAGATTCCTTTGGGTTTTCAGGAAAGAGTCATACAAGCGTCTACATATTGTCTACTGTCTAAACCATGCGTCTATGTACATGTAGAAGGTTCGAAGTCTATAAAGGACAATACTGAACGTCTATCTATACAGTCGGGGTTGGTTTCACATACTGAACAGAAAGGAGGCATTGAGTCTAAAGCACCCCTTTCAGTCATGGTAATAAAAATTGGACTTTGGGGACCCCCAGGTGAGTTATGCCATAATGTGCTAGTATGCATGGCATATACGTTATGGCAGACTTCAAAAAGTGTGGTAAAATTGCGCACTCACCAGATGCGTAAGGTAAATACGCATTGTATAAATATGTAGAGGTCCCCTTTAGGAATTGGATAAGGTACTAATCCAGGATGCTCCTCCCTCAAGGTATGGTGGTGCTGTCAGGGGTTCACAGGAAGATACAGGATCCAGCTGACCAGAGATCCCTTTAAGGGATGGACGGGTGTAGGTGTCTGCTTTAAGGAACTCCCCTCTCTGGATACTGGTGGATAGCTGGATCAAGATGGGCTCCAAAAGTAAATAGTACACTATGGCAGATATACTGCTACAGGGCGGCTGCTCTGCTCAAAAAACGAGGGCAGCGGAAGGGGGTTCTGTGCAGAGGTCAGAGCTGAAGAGGAGTGAAAGTGAAATGTTGATGGGGGGGTGCAGAGGTAAGCAGCTGAACTCTGCACTCTGTATGTAACAAACCCCTGAACTCTGTATGTAACATACCCCTGAACTCTGTATGTAACATACCCCTGAACTCTGTATGTAACATACCCCTGAACTCTGTATGTAACATACCCCTGAACCCTGAACTCTGAATGTAACATACCCCTGAACTTTGTATGTAACATACCCCTGAACTCTGTATGTAACATACCCCTGAACTTTGTATGTAACATACCCCTGAACTCTGTATGTAACATACCCCTGAACTCTGTATGTAACATACCCCTGAACTTTGTATGTAACATACCCCTGAACTCTGTATGTAACATACCCCTGAACTCTGTATGTAACATACCCCTGAACTCTGCATGTAACATACCTTTGCACTCTGAATGTGACATACCCCTGAATTCTGCACTCTGTACGTGACATACCCCTGAATTCTGCACTCTGCATGTAACATACCCCTGAACTCTGCATGTAACATACCCCTGAACTCTGCATGTAACATACCCCTGAACTCTGCATGTAACATACCCCTGAACTCTGCATGTAACATACCCCTGAACTCTGCATGTAACATACCCCTGAACTCTGCATGTAACATACCTCTGAACTTTGCACTCTGAATGTAACATACCTCTGAACTTTGCACTCTGAATGTGACATACCCCTAAATTCTGCACTCTGTACGTGACATACCCCTAAATTCTGCACTCTGTACGTGACATACCCCTAAATTCTGCACTCTGTACGTGACATACCCCTAAATTCTGCACTCTGTACGTGACATACCCCTGAACTCTGCACTCTGTACGTGACATACCCCTGAACTCTGTACGTGACATACCCCTGAACTCTGTACGTAACATACCCCTGAACTCTGTACGTAACATACCCCTGAACTCTGTACGTAACATACCCCTGAACTCTGTACGTAACATACCCCTGAACTCTGTACGTAACATACCCCTGAACTCTGTACGTAACATACCCCTGAACTCTGTATGTAACATACCCCTGAACTCTGCATGTAACATACCCCTGAACCTTGCACTCTGATTGTGACATACCCCTAAATTCTGCACTCTGAATGTAACATACCTCTGAACTTTGCACTCTGAATGTGACATACCCCTGAATTCTGCACTCTGTACGTGACATACTCCTAAATTCTGCACTCTGTATGTAACATACCCCTGAACTCTGCACACTGGAAGTTATGAATTCCCAGAATTTAATGCTCCTTTAAGACCCTCTCACTGTTGGTGAAATTTGGCCACACCTACTATTTGATATACTTGGCGAGTGTGTGTGCGGGGGGGCGGGAAACATGGTTGAGTTTCTGCACCTATTTTCTGAGAAAAAAAGCCCTATGATCTCTCATTCTTCCCACTTTCATTACATCAGTCCAGGGACCCAAGGACTTTCTTTGAAACGTATAAAAACTGCAAATAGTCAAAGATTTGATTTGTCCATGTAAATCAGACACTTCCTCTTTGAATGGCCACATTCTTATAATAATATATTTTATTAAAGGTATTTATGTAGCTCCAACAATTAAAGCAGAATTCCAGGCTGAAGCTAATTAATCTTAAAAATGTTCCCTCCCCCCCTCCCAACACCTATGCTGACTAAGCTGTGTAAAAAAAATGTATATAATTAGATATTTTAAGGCCACTCCAGTATGTTCACGTGATCTCCCCTGTGTTAGCTTTGGTGGCTGCAGGGGAGAGGGGAAAGCACTCAACAATGGCTGGAATGCGTGAGAGCGGTGACCTGTCAACTGTTGGCGCTCCCTTCTCTCCCCTGCAGCCACCGTTGGCTGATGCAGGGGAGCAGATCATTTGACTAGACTGGAATAGGCTGAAAATAGGTAAGCATATACCAGGGGCAGACTGACAACTCATGGGGCCCCCGGGCAATAGGGGACCATGGGGCCCCTGTGTCCTTGCTCAAACTCAAAAAAGCCTATGAAAAAGGTACCAGGGGCATCTCATGGGGCCCCCTACTGACCCCGGGCCCGAGTTTCCAAATGGTCAGTCCACCCCTGGTATATACATTTTTCTTACACAATTTAATCAGCATACTATAGGTATTAGAAGGGTGAAGGAAGCATTTTTTAAATTTAGTTATCTTTAGCCTGGAATTCTACTTTAAAGTGGTAGTAAACTCCCCATTTGGATTTTTACCTACAGGTGAGCTTATAACAAAGCTTACCGGTAGGATAAATGAAATGTGCACCGTTTAGGAGATATTCACTGAGTTTGCAGCCAGTGACGTTACCGGCACATACCTTCAAAGCTGTGCTAATGCCACAAAAAAGCCCAGTAAGGCATGTCAAGATGTTGTCAGGCATATTGTAAATAGGTTTTTTGTGGCATTGACGCAATAAAGGCTTCTTTCTGACAACTTGACCATGCAGCACATTTTTGCTCAAGTATCACTGTATTGTACTCTATGAAACAACCACGCTATATTTTTCCAGAGCAGCCTGTATATCTCCTGAGGTTACCTGTGTTTTTTTCTTCATATCCTGAACAATTCTTCCAGCAGTTGTGGTTGGAATCTTTTTTGGTCTACCTGACCTTGAATTGGGATCAAGAATCCCCAAACTTTACACTTCTTAATTAGTTACATAGTTATATATAGTTATGTAAGCCGTGTACCGAGATGGGCTGCCCAGGATACAGTGAAGTCACGAACGAGGAAAGCAACCCCAACACCAGCTTTTCCCACAATAGAGAATTTTACTTAGATGTGGCAAATAAACACAAACCACAAATGCTGGAAACATACAATAAATTTACATACACCCATCCCAAAGGCTGACACCCTTGTGCTGCACAGCACGGCGCCTTCTGATGGATGAAGGTAGAAAGTGAAGTAATTTACCTACTGGGGGCACAACTAAGCTGCCACACCTTACCTGTTATTACCCTACAGAGCAGGAATCAGTGTATGGGTGTACGGTATGGGCTAGCCTGCGGTGCAGCACAACAGCTTACAATCTTACACACATCTACAGTATTCCCCCTCCCATAACTGGTCTTGTAGCACGTGCCTGAGTATTCCTTCTGAGCAAAATGCCAGTCTGGCTTGAGTTTGTAGGATTTTATCAGCTCTCCAATGTGAAATGTCACTTTAAGTTGTGGAGTCCTTCCAATGATCAGCAATAACACTTGTGGCCTGACACAAACAGAGACCCTAACTAACTATAGGCCTGGACTCAGTCTCACGGCGCCAACACTGAAATGAGGTGCGTGCACGATCTTACTGACCCGGGTCTGCTTTGCATCTGCTGGTGACTCTGAACAGAACAAATGTCTCTCCAACAAGCATGCAGTCTTGCCGTATATGTTGCTTAGTTCCTCTGCTCTCATCAGCCTTCCTGGTAGCAATCTCATCAGCATTCCTGGCAGCAATCTCTGGTTTATGAGGGACGCTTTCACACCTGGATGTCATCAAAACATGGCTTCTCCCTCTCCTTCCTGTTCTCTCCAACTCTGTGTGCAAAACCCCACCTCTTCATCAATATAGAAATATCTATGCAGTCTGAGGCTGTGTTAGAAAAACAGTGACATCTTGTGGCTAAACCGCAGAATGTCAGTCAAAACATTAATTTACTTCCACACAAACAGTGTTCAAACAATGAGAGCTGTTTCCCCATCTCACAGTTACATAGTCTGGCTGAAAAAAGACAAAAGTCCATCCAGTTCAACCACAAAAAAAGTTATAATCCTATACCCACAGCTGATCCAGATAAGTGATCAAACAGTACTGACTGGCATATTCAAGGTTTTGGTTATATATCCTTTTTTCATCTTTAAAAAATTCTATTAGCTTGTTACGCTGGTCTTTTGAGAGTTCTTTTCTGCTCCCCATGGCTCAGCATTTAGCCTGCTCAATGCACCTATGTGAGAGCTAAAGAGCTCACTGTTTATTTATACACAGACACTAATAAACAATAAATGCCTTTATATGATCATTATCCTTAAAGTGATTCTAAAGGTTAAAATACCTGCTGTGTGCAGTGGTTTTGCACACAGCAGCCCAGATCCTCCTCTTCTCGGGTCCGACGCTTCTGGCCCCTCCCTCTTGTCAGGTGCCCCCACAGCAAGCAGCTTGCTATGGAGGCACCCGAGCATGCACTCTTCTGAGCTGCTGTTCAGTGTGTCCATTCGCCCCCGTCTTCTCACTGATTTACTGTCTCAGCCAATGAGGAGAGGGAGTCCTGGGATAGACGAGACTCCAGTGCACATCGCTGGATCGAGAGGGGGCTTAGGTGAGTATTGTGGGGGGGGGGGGGGAATGAGGGGGATGCTGCACAAGCAATGTTTTTGTACCTTCATGCACAAAAACCTTGAGCCTTGCACTTTAAATAAAAAACAGTTTTGTTGCGTAATCAGACATATTTTCAATAAATAATAAATATAACATAAATATAAAGTTCACAATATCTGCCAGGGTATGCAAACTTTTGAGCACAACTGTAAATCTCTGATATTACAGTTCTTCTAGTGAAGGCTCAGTTGTCCAAATCAAATTACAGTCTGTACATGAGCTGCAAGGTAAAATTACTTATAAACATCCTCCCGGTCAAAAGCAAATACTCTGGAATCATACAAATGTGTCACTGAAATCAACAGTTGGGCTATATGGGAACACAGCTCCAATGGTATATGAGTAAGTGTCCATATCTAACAGAGTGGTTACAGTTCCTCCATCTCATGTACCCATTTGGACAATTTTTGTTGACTGGCAAGAAAAGAATGTTGTGCTTTGACAAGAGAAGTTACCAGACCCAGCTCAGGTCTTTACCCGTCAGTTCTGTTCTGACCTAGTAGACCAAATGCTTAGCCCCTTGTAACCATACCTGTAGCAATCGTGCACACAGAGATAGATGCAAACCTCCATTTTGGCAAAGGCCTCCATCTTCTATCATGTTCTACTTTCCAAATCAGCTTCCCTCATCCCCCCTCCCTCTCTGTTGAATGACATGTGGTCTGTATGATGCAGAGGTAACAGGCAATCAGGCTCAGCGGGAGAGCTCCAGGGCTATAAAATCCCAACCTAGCTGGTGCCCAGATGTCTGTTAGCTTATCAATCTGGGATATGGTAAAGCCATAAACCAAGTCCTTCACTGAGCTCAAAGACATTCCAGACAAACCGTGAACCAGACATCACATTCAACATCCATTTTCCCCTATGATTTCATATCTTGGAATATGAAAGACTTACATAAAAACCAGGTATAAATTCAGATTGGACACTTTAATACAAGTCACCTAATATAATACACCCCCCTAGCTGACATGTACAGGAGAGCAGAAAATGATATCTCCTTAACCGTCACAGCAGGTATGTCATATTTCATATCTAGACGTTCAGCAGATGCGTCTGCATATTAATCTACTAGTGCCAAGGCTGCTAAACGCACCAAGGGTAAGTTATGGACCATGATATAAGCTAAGAGGGATTTTTGTTTTAGCTGGGGTCTCCACCTACACCTCCCTACCCAAATGAGGTGATTGGTTCTCTGCTTCAAGGAGACACCCTGCTGAGTTCCTAGAAAAAGCTGTTATGCTTGGAGCAGAAAGTTAAGCTAAGCTAAGCTGAGTTGAGCTAAGTTGAAGATTCTCCCTTTTAACATTGGAACCAACTTTGGGAGACGGCCCTTTTGCTCTGAAACTTGAACGCTGCTTAAACCAGGACTTTTGGCAAGTACTTTATCTCTCTAAATTCCTTTCTGTCATCTCTTGGCTGTGTTATTGCTTTCTGTATATTTATATATATATTGGCTACATCTTTTCTGTAAATATTTTTATCGCACCCTTTTGATCCTTTTAGTAATAAATCTTACTTTCTGAAAGTGTTGAACTGTTTCTAAAGCTCTTTAATGCAAACTAAGAACCCCTGTCTCTGAAGACCGCTACTGTGTGTTTTTAAACGTCTGCATACATTTGTCTGCGGTGACATTGTGTATACAAACAATTATTCAAACATCATAGTGTTATTGCTGATATTGCAGAGTTTCCTCTTTCTCTGTACAAAAAGGAGTTGATGGCAGTGTGAAGGGTTAATTGCGTAATTAACCTGACCCAGTAACAATCGCTCTCAGGCTGCGGCACATAGGTTGTGGTCCATTAGCTGGAAAATCTTTATGCAGGTTGCAGCTGGGCGTGGCATTGTTACGCACGTGACAGCGCCGTTTTAGATTGGCTAGTCCTTCGGTCACGAGTTTGGTGAGAAGGGCTGGGGTCTAGCGCCACGACCGTCACAATACCCACTAAATTCATGGTATAATGGATCCAATGGGTAGATGCTCGGATCTAGTAAGAGTGTTCCAAGCGAAAACTGAACTTTTCCCACCAAACCACCATTTTTTTCTTGCCAATACAACACATTGTCTAAATGTCTATGTGAAATGGAGGAACTGCTACCACTCTCTTACATAGGGACACTCACACATATACCACTGGAGCCGCGGTATCATATAGCCAAAGGTGGTGATTTTACAAGTGACACATTTGTAAATCTCAGAGAATTTGCTTTTAACCAGAGGGATCTTTTTGAGTAATACTACCTTACAGCTCATGTACAGACTGTAATTTGATTTGGACAATTGAGCCTTTAATGGAAGGACAGTAATATCGGGGATTTATATGAATACTTACAGCAACTCTTTAAATCTGCTATTGCGATATATGCCTTAGGACAAAGAGAAAGAGCCAACACAAAGGGGTTTACCCGAGGAACAGCAGAGTCTGTATTCACATATCTGAACCTGTAAAGAGTGAACACCCTCTATAGTTCTAGGAGAGCTCTATCTGGAACCAGCTTATGGGGTATTAATACAAGTGCATCAACTCCATGGATATATTCAACCTTCATTTTATTGTGGTGGAACAACAAGTATAGTAGCACGAGTTCCATAGCAGAACTAGAAATATCCTATGAATGTGGGAACAGTTACCATTTAGAGGAAATGTCTAATTAAGATGGACAAATCAAGTCTTTGCCTGGTGGCAGAATAGGGATCCTGCTGCAGATCTCCTCCACATGCACCAGTTAACTCCTAACCCCCCGTACTTGCAGCTAGGTCCATGGACTCTCCGTCCCGTAGATCTGGTCCTGAATGCTGTGCGGAACTGATCACTAGGGAGAGAGTTCGAACCCCTTGCTAACAAGAGGACCCATCACCCATGCCTGGTACCTCCTTCCCGCTGGCTGGTTGCTATAGCATTCCCTTCAGTCCTGGTTACCCAAAGCAATGCCTTACCCCCGGTTCACATCTCTGCGGCCATGCAGGCCGCGTTTTGCACGGGCACAAGAGCCCAGTCATTTGAATGGACTCCCGTGCCCGTGACATGCAGGGAAGAAGTCCCTCCACTTCTTTGGAAAACGAAGCCCGCACAGGAACCTCGGTTCCCAGTACGGTTGCGTTTTCCAGTGCGGTAGGCGTGCCATTAGAACCATTGGCACCCGCCCGCGAGTCCGCATTTCTCTGTGCGGGTGGTGCGGCTGCACAGATTTTCGTGCGGATCTGCAGCGGCACCACTCGCACAGATGTGAAACTAGGGTTAAAAAACATTTATTAAAGCGATAAAAGTAGGTATTGTACTCACAAACAACAATACAGTCAAAAGCACATCATGAAACAAAAGGGAAAGTCCTTGAAACGCGTTAGCCTGTTGGAAGTCCAGGGTTCCCATTGCAGATAGACACGTAGTGCGGATTGGACAGAGCTGTTCTTTCATGATGTGCCTTTGGCCAGGGGTGGACTGACAACTCATGGGGCCACCGGGCAATAGGGGATCATGGGACCCCTGTGTCCTTGCCCAAACTCAAAAAGCCTATGAAAAAGGTACCAGGGGCATCTCATGGGGCCCCCTACTGACCCCGGGCCATCGGGCAGTACCCGAGTTGCCAAATGGTCAGTCCGCCCCTGCCTTTGACTGTATTGTCGTTTGTACAATACCTACTATTATCGCTTTGATAAATGTTTTTTAAGGTAATGCCCTAGGCCGGTGCGACCTCTGTTTGTTTTCTCTCTATTCAGTACATTTGGACTTCCCCGGTCCTCTGAGGGCAGCAAGGAGTGCACATTCCAGGACATTCGCGATGTGGTCTTAATCTTTACTGAGTCCATCCCTAAGCACAGGAGTATTTGCTGTACCCAAAGCAATGGCATAATAGACATCTTCCAGCCATCTTCTCTGCATGGTTAACTTCTTAGAAGCACAGATACAGTCCTAATCTAACTAAAGCTGGCTGCCTGGTTCATACCTTGCCCAGAGATAGCAAGTTCTTAGCGACAGTCCATTACTGGTGGTTTCCTGGCTCCAGGTGGAATCCTATGCAGATGCGGGGAACCTGCTGCTCAAACTGGACTACATTGCTCAGCAGGCCTAATACAACATTCCCATGTCGAACCTCTGGCCCTGCAACTTCCCCCTGTATTCTCAGAACACAACAGTGGCAGGACCCAGAAAAGCCTGGGAGAGTCCAGTAACTGTTAACCCCTTCCCATCCCTGGCATCTCAAGCTAACTACACAGTCACATATTGCAAATGATTCAACAGTAAAAATACATTCACTGGTACCCCATAAGCACCTGCTTACATGCAGCCACAACATATGAGCACATCATGATAAGGTAGGGCAAACACAGGGAATAGAACTACATGAATACCTAGTTAATAGCAAAAAGATGTGAAAGTGTACAATTAACCTCCCTAGCGGTCTGATTATGTCAGTATTTCTGTGCTCAAAGCGGTACATTGTTTTCAATGGAAATTTGTTGTTTTTTTATTTTAGGCCTGTAATTCTTAGGAATAACTCACTGAAATCTGTCCCAACAAGAGTCTAGTAAACATCCCGTGTATGATAAAATTTGAAACACAAAATCATAAATTATAATATAATAAATAATCATAAAAAATAATAATAAATTTAATTCAATAATATAATCAAACCAAAAACATTAAAATTTGAAATATAGTGCCAAGTTCGCACATCACTGAGCAAAGTCGCAAAATCGTTTTCAGTGTCTGATGACGAATTTCCCCCACGAATCATTATCACTCAATTCTGCAAGTGGTTCTGATTTACTATCGCTGTTCTCTAGCTGGTCTAAAACCGCTTTTGACCTAAAAGGACGCTTTTTGGACGCCATGGACGTTTCTCAGTTTCCAGGCAGAAAGAACGGTACAAATGCAGGCAGAGCGCCGGACAAAGCACTCGGGACAAAATGTATGTGAAATGGTTTGATACAGGAATGTTATACTATGTGATTTTAGTGTATTTATTGAATGTCACTTTTTCACTTTTTTAAATTTCCCTCCATTCCGGCCCCCGTACGTCCTGGCGCTTGCAGGGAACGGAACCCAGAAGACAGATGCCAGCATCGGCCGGAGCACAAGGCCAGGGACACATCACGCCGTGACGTCATGCCGCCGGAGCAACGTGGAGCTCCGGCAGCTATCTTTAATACCGGATGGTCAGTACTTGCTGTCTGACACTTTATATTTTATTGATGCATCGAATTTTAAAGCTTCAAATAAATCTTTATTCACAATTACTACACTATGGGAGTATTCTTGTCCATACCCTCTGGGGGAGCCCTCTGAATTTTTAGATACACCACTCCAGGAGGAATCTTCACATCTGCAGTGGATACCTAGATATCTAGGGAGCACAACCAGGCACCTTAAAGGGGAATCCTATAGGACGAGGATCATCTGTAATTCCTTAAAAGGATCCTGTCTGGACCACTTCCCATACTGATGACATCTGGAGTTAATATATAAGGCGCATTTATGACCTAATACCCTCTACTGTAGAGGGAAGACTTCATAAGTTCCTGACCACTTCCCATACTGATGACATCTGGAATTAATATATAAGGCGCATTTAACATGCGTGTCCGGTGAGTGCGCATTACTATCACCACTATTGCACCTATACCGGATCCAGAGTTACCAGAGCACAAGAATCACCTTTATTTATTTATTGGAATTATTTTTATTATATTTTCATACACTCATTTTATTGTGATCCTTTATTGTTACTTTTAGTGCTGCACCTTTTTTATACGTTATTTATGGATTTAGATGATATTGGTTACCTGTTGTGTGCATAGCAGCTTTTATTTATTTAATTTAACTGTTTTAGGCGCTCGCATTCTTTGTTTATATAATAACATAATACTATCAGATTTTTGTGTATTGAGTGAATGTCACATTTTTAAAATTTTTTAATTTCCCGCCAGTTCCGTTCCTCGTACGTCCTGACACTCGCAGGGAATGGAACCCAGAAGACAGATGGCGGCATCGGCCGGAGGAGATGGCCGGGGACACTGCAGGGGGGACATCGCGGGAGCGCAGGACAAGGTAAGTGCAGAAGGGATCCCTGAGCAACGCTGCAGTGTATTCTCGAGTGTAGCTCGGGGTTACTGCTTGTGGTGCTGAAACTTTACCCTGAGCTACACTCGGAAATACCGCTGATTTAGTTGAGGACTAAATCGTCCAGTGCTTATCTGTTCCTGTCCTAATTTATCATTCTAGCTTTGGAATGTGCGCACACTGGAAGAGACTCACGCTGACACACAAGTTCAGTCTATGAACACTTCTAGTTTATTATAATGAGAAAGTGAGCTTATATATGCAAAATGATGCAAGAGTCATGTGACAACAGCATAAGCATTATATTAGTCTTTGATTGGTCATTTCCACACGAAAACAATCTCCGTCATGGTATAGGTGTGATCTTCTTCCAAGTCTTATCTTATAGAAAGAAAAACATTCCTTTTGTCTTCGAAATCACACAATGGGAGGGGGTCGGTGCATGTGAGCAGACATTTCTTAAGCAAGGATTTCTTAAAGTACCACAAAGCCCAGCAGGCAGAAAAATATTCACACAACATATATATTCATGCTAAACATTTATAAATATGAAGAAAGAAATAGTATTAAAGTATAAAAGTAAATATGTATAAAAATGTGTATAAAAATATATATATTCAATATAAAACGAAATAGGTATTTTACCAAATCCATCACACCGCCAGGGGGGTTAAAATATATTGTATGTAAAAAAAATGCAAACTTTTTTCTTCTGTTCACAAAGAATGTTCATAAAGTCACAACTTGCAAAGATGCGTTCCTATACATTTTTTTTTTGTTGCTTTTACATAAAAAGAATAACCTCCAATTATTTCATAACCTCTCGTTTGGCTGAATCAATTATATTTCATTGTTGACATCACATAAGCAATTATCTTACGGTTTTCCAGCCGATACTTGTGGATGGACCACTCTGTGCGCCTCCCAGATATTAAAACCCGATTTTTTCCAGGATAAAACTACAAAATACAGCCGTAGATGTACAATTGGGGGGAGGGGTTGAGGACTCTTCACCTTGAGTGCCAGATGATATTGTGCCAGCACTGACTCCACTTCTTACACTTTGATGCCTGCGTCCCAATGGCCCTCAGCAATTCTTGCCTAAATGAGGGTTCATGAATATTGGATAGCTCACGAATGACTCTGTGTAGGGGGTTAGTACATTTTAATGAGTATGCAAACATGGAAATGACACATGAAAGCCCCCTAGTCAATTTTTTCCGATGCATTAATGGTACGCTAGAACCGCTTGACGTTTTATAGTGACACAGGTGCCTCCAATTACTCCATGCGCGGTGAAATGCACGCACGTCAACATGTGCAAAGCTGAAAGCTCATTAATCAATATACATTTCATTAAACTACAAAGTCCTGACCCTGATGGAGCGCTGCAAATTTTTCATATCACTGGGCTAATTGGAGCCACTGACAAGCACATGACACAAACAGGTGCATATACATCTAACGGTGGCATTTAGTACGCAATTTGTAGTTTATTGCTGAAGAGATAAAAAAATTGAATGCATTAGCCCACTGTTATGTAAAGGCTAAGTCCAGCTAAATGTCATACTTAGCTAGACTGACTGAATGAGGGAATTCAGCCTACGGAGACCAAAACAAAACGTGTTCAAAGTCTTACAGTTTCTTTTCTTCAGAAAGCAGCCACAGCCTCAGTAGAAAAGCCTGTCCCCTGCCAGCATGCTGCACATAAAAAGCCTTGTTATCTGTGCGGAAGCAGTGGTTTCTCTGCAGAGGTCCAACGTGCTCCCCTGCTAGAGCTAGAGTTCTACAATCAGCAAAGCTTAAGACCCCTGCTGACTGAGGAGCTCTAGCTTTGACTCTGACATTGGGGAGATTTCCTCTCACTTCCTCGCACTTCTTGCTCTTGTGACACCTGTACAAGAAATGGGAGGTGCTGGTGTCGCTGGGACAGGAAGGCACAGATAGCTAGAAATTCTGACCCTCCCTATTTCTATTAAAAATAATTATTCCGCTTTTGTCTGTGTCCCTGTTGAATAAATATTTCCAAGGACCAGGATTCTCAGGACCTCAAGTACTCCTAGCATCCATGCCAGGTCTTCTAGGATTTCCAGGATTCCTAGGACCTCCAGTACTCTCAAGATCCCTGCCCAATCTTCTAGGATCTCCAGTATTCCTAGGACCTCCAGTACTCACAAGATCCTTGCCCAGTCTTCTAGGATCTCCAGGATTCCTAGGACCTCCAGTACTCACATGATCCCTGCCTGGTCTTCTAGGATCTTTAGGTTTCCTAGGACCTCCAGTACTCACAAGATCCCTAACCGGTCTTCTAGGACCTCCAGGATTCCTAGGACTTCCAGTACTCACAAGATCCCTGCCCAGTCTTCTAGGATCTCCAGGATTCATAGGACCTCCAGTACTCACAAGATCCCTGCCCAGTCTACTAGGATCTCCTGGATTCCTAGGATCTCTAGTACTCACAAGATCCCTGCCCAGTCTTCTAGGATCTCCAGGATTCATAGGACCTCCAGTATTCACAAGATCCCTTGATGGGTCTTCCAATATTTC